ATATAGATCTCTTCCAGTCAGTTGGCCAAGTTGTTGTTCCCCAGATTTCTTGACACAACTTGGTGAGCACGTCCAGGGCAGCATCTGTTAGCTGAAATACGTCAATTGGTATACCATCTATTCCTGGGGCCTTATTTATAGCTTAACAAATTATGGCCAACATTGAGAAGAATGGAAATCCCAGAACACTTGTGCTCATGCGAAACCTATATATGCATAAACGAAGTGCAGTTGTCAAAACAGAACAAGAGAAAAATCAGGAAAAGTGTGGATCCAGGTTCTAGCCTTTTTCCACACGTATTTAGTCTATATGTTACACACATTGTAAGAAGCTAGGCTCTATGAAGAAGAATTTGACATCAAGATTACAAGAAGAATTATCAATTTTTCTTGTTGATGAAGTTGATGAGGATTTGAAGCACTTACTGCAAAAGATCAAAGGCTATACAGCTTTCAATATGGATTACATCTCAACATCAAAGAAAACAAAAATCCTCATCGCTGGACCAATAGGTAACATCATAATATATGAAGAAAAGATTGAAGGTGTCGCCAGTTTCATCAACACCCATGGTAGCAACAGCCAATAATTTAAAAAAGAAAAAAGAAATGTTGCATTGTGGAAATCTACTGTCAAGGACCTCACCAAAGTGTTGAAGAGTTAGGATGTCAGTTTAAACACTAAAGTGCACTTGATCCAAGATAATGGTGTTTTCAGTTGCTTTATTTGCATCTGAATGTCCTTGGGGGCAAAATAGGCTGGGAAAAGTGGAGGGTCAGAGAGCAGGTTAGTTAATGAGATAGATTGACACAGTGATTGTAACAGTGGGCTTGAGCATGGTGGAGATCCTGAGGATCGGACAGGGCAGGGCAAGGCTCAGATCTGTTGTTCATAAGGTTGCTATGAATAGTAGTTGACTTGATGGCACCTAACTACAACAACAGCATCCGTCTGTCCATCCGTTCATCCATCCGTCCGTCCGTCCATCAGTCCATCCATCCATCTTTTATGTGCTTTACAAAAATTATTTTATTTATTGTTATTGTTTATTTTTACTTTTCTCTACTTCGCTTCTTAAAGCTTATTAGCTTTGATAGTTAATGAAGGTGCAGCCGGTGTGCTCCTTAGAGGCACAGATAATAAAGCTTTATCTCACATACTTTGATCATGTTACTAAGAGAGGCTTTCATTAGAAAGGGACATCATGCTTGGTCAGGTGGGGGGAATGCAAAAGAAAAGACCCTCAACCTGGTGGATTGACACAGTGACTGCACCAGTTGGCTCAAGTGTGTCAAAGATTGTGAAGATGGTACAGGATAGGACATGATTCAGACCTGTTGTTCATAGGGTCACTGTAAGTCGTTCATACTTGACTCAAAGGCATCCATGAAGAACAATTTCTTCGGTTCTCATCTCTGTTAACGCTCCAAAATGGATTCTATTTCTGTGTAATCTGTTTCTTATGTTATATTCTTTTTGTGTTAGTGCTCAAATTCCATCATTGTAACTGACACTCTACATTATTTTCTCTAGTTCCATGTTGTGCAGTATTTCACAAATGCTTGATAATTTTTCAGTCATGCCACATACTCTATTGTGTAAACAAACCACCATTTCTTCACCCATTCATCCTTTGATTGGCACTTGAATTGTTTCTAATTCTTTGCTTTTATAAGCAGCACTGAAATAAACATGGATATACATATGTCTGGTAATGCCACAGATCTTATTTTTGTTAAAGATATATACCTAGTAGTGGGATTGCTGAATCAAATGGTATTTCTAAAGCCAGCTTTCTAAGGAAATGCCAAACTTCTTTCAATATTGGTTGTACCATCATCCTGATTCCCCTCTTTTTGAGAGCTAATGACCTTGAGCATTTCTTCATGGTTTTGTTGATCAGCTGAATGTCATCTTTGCTCACACGTTTACTCATGTCTTGTCTTCTATTTATTTTGTAATTGAGTTGTTTTGTCTTTCTCTTGTCAAGGTATGTGAGTTTTCTAGAAATATTACAGATAAGTCCCTTGTCAGATATGTCATTGCCAAATGTTGCTTCCATATATATATATATATATATATATATATATATATATATATATATATTCTCTCCTTACTCTTCTGGAGAATTATTTTCACATATTTCATTTTTAAAAAGTCTCACTAGCCCTTTGTATTGTGGCGTTAGAGTATAGTACTGAATATCAAGTGGACAAACTGGTCCTATCTTGGAGAAAGTAAAAACAGAGTTCTCCTTGGAAGCAAGGATGTTGAAACTTTGTCTCATATACTTTGGACATGTTGTTAGGAAGGGCCATACTTGGAGAAAGACATCATGATTGGAAAGGTGTAGGGGCAATGTAAGAGAAGAATACCCCCCTCTCCACAAGGTGGTTGACACGGTGCCTGTAGCAATGGCCTCAAATATGTCAGAGATGGTAAGGATGGCACAGGATAAGGCAGAGTTCAGATCTGTTGTTCATAGGATCTATATGAGCCACAGTCAACTTGGCAACACATAACAACAACAGCAAATATTTCATTTCTCGGTCTAAGAATTCTGTCCTTTATTGATTGTGTATCAGTTATGTTTGATATTCTATTTAAGTCATACATTATGGCTCCTAAATTTGCCCCCATGTCCCGCCCCTTAATCTTTATAGTTTTAATTTTTATACCAAGTCCTTGATCCATTCAGACTTAGTTTTTCTATACGGTGTCAGGTATGGGTCTTATGTTTATTTTCTGCAGATGACATCTGTCCAGTTTTAACAGCACCATTTATTAAAGAGACCGTCTTTTCCTCACTCAATGGATTTTCTCTCTTTGTCAGAGATCTTTTGTTTATAGATGGATGAATATATTTCTGGGTTCTCAATTTTACTTCATTGATAAATGCACCTGTCACTGATCTGTGCTGTGACATGCTGTCACATTTCTCTTTAAATATTCTTTTAAGGCTAACTCGAAGGGGAATTTAAAAAAAAAAAGAAGCTAAGAAGCAGTTTTACAAATACAGCTAAAAATAAGTATTTTCCTAAAATGGGAAAGGAATCTAATATGAAAAAGATCAAGTAAAATAAGCATGATACAAAATAGCACAGACATATAAATAAAAACTTTCTATTGTTTCTCACATATTAATTTTTAGTACCTTAAAATCTTAATAAAAATTTTAGTGCACAGCACTAAATAAAAAAAAATAGTGCACAGCAGTAATTTAGGCTTCTAGTTTGTTACAAAATACTGGCAATAAGATTATTTTCTAAATATTGTAGGTAAAATTAATGAGATAAATTAAAATGTGTTACTAATTTAAAATTTATTGATTCCAATAAATGTAAAATCTCATTATAATAAAGTTCATGTGATATTTAAATAGAGTTGAACAAATACTGGTTTGTTTATATATATTTTTTCCACTATTGTAACTTGTAGAGTACTATAAATTAATGTATAGTCCATCATCCACTCTGTAGTAACATTAAAATGAACAAGAATCCACAGTAAATTATCCTAGCTATATTGGCACCCTCTTTCCCCCTTTATTTTTACTTTTCTATCTCAGAGTGGTTTGCAACGTCAGGTGGACAGCCTACTAAGAAGTTCGGAGTTACCATTGTTCTCTTCGTGTTATCACCTCATCATTTCAAGCCCCCATCTACCCTTTCTCTTACTTCATCCCCCGCCCACTGACCTCTGCAATTGCAGTGATTTTTCCCTCCTTCTCTTTGTTCTGTCCCCTTCTCTCTTCTCCCTTCTGAAAATTTAAACATGTCTTAATTATTCTCCTATTTTTAATTAACTATATAAAATATAATGTGTGTGTTTGAGTGTATAAAACACAAAGTACATGTATAAAACACAACATATATGAATGATTCTATCCAAATCAGTAAAAAACCAAGTTCAAAAGTTATGATATCTTGATTTTAGGGTACATTTTTAGTTCAGCCTTCTCTATTGGTTAGGAGCTTATACAGCCTTCTCTTGTTTTAGATACAAACAATACTTAATGAATTTTACTTTGAAGGAACATTGTTATTTGAATTAGGGCAAGAAGACAGACTACAGAGCTGCGTGGTTAATGAAATAAACAATTAACAAATAATCTGAACAGCTTTGTCATCTCTCGGCACTTGTATCTTAAAGGATTTTAGCTTAAGCTGCTGTAATTCTAGCATCCTAGTTATATATACCCTAAAGTTATTAAGTCATAAAATAGAATTTTATTTTCTGAAATAAAGATTTTTTACTAATTTTGATCTCCACACCAAGTCCCATGCTGTACACTGATGGTAATAACTTAATCAGTGTCAAATAATTTTCATTTTCAACTAATTCCATTAATGATTCCTGCCTCCTCCCCCTCCTTCTCCTTCTCCGTACTTTAGAGCATGGCATCTAAGTTCTAAGGTAGAATTGTGGTTTAAGGACAGATGTCTGCTAGTACCTGATGCTGTAAACGTACTAGAACCTCTGGAATGTGAGTGCTAACCTTTCTGGATCTCACCTGATAATCACCTCTCCGTGCTGGCAACTGCTGGGCATTTTATCCTCAGTTCTGTGGACTGCTTTCTGCAGCAATACCTTCTTATAATACCTTACAGACTTTTTATGCCCACTGCTTTTCCAGCCGGTCTCGGCTGCTCTCCTGTCCCCGTATAGGGCCAAATATAATTTCCTGTACCTTTTTTGGGTTATGCATTCCAGTTTTCTTGATAGTGACAACTTTTGTATTGGAATTTTATTTTTAGTAATAAATCAGCCTCCCATTTTGATCTCCACACCTAGAAATGTCACACTACCTCTCTTTAATCTTTTTCTTTTTAGAAAGTGATAAAATTTACTACAATAGTGTTGTTGTTTCATTTATTAAATATATAATGTTGCATTTTTGTCCAGTATTTTAACTGGAGATCTTTAGAAGTTGATTCTTTTCTGTTATTCTGGATTAAAAATATATATATATTGAATTTTAATACTATTTTTAATATAGGGATTAAGGAATAAACCAAAGAAAACAGCACATGTGAAACCAGACCTCATAGATGTTGATCTTGTAAGAGGTAAGTCTTGGGTAAACAAATGCATTATGAAGTAAGAATTAAAAATGGCTTAGATTTATATATTATAAAATTAATAGCAAATATAACCTAAAAACTGATATTCCCTCTTCAGATTATTGAGGACTACTGATGTCAATTTGAGGATACAGGTGTGTCTGATTGAGCTCTTGGTCTTTGGAAGCACTTGTTATACATCTGAGAGCAAGACAGTGAAAAAGTATAACAGAAGAATTAATGCCTTTGAGTTGAGGTGTTGAAGAGTGCTGAACATCGCATGAACAGACAAAAGAACAATCAGATATGTCTAGGAGAGGGTGCATTCAGAGTGCTCTGTTAGAAGCAAAGGTGATGAGACTTTGCCTTAATGTATTTCAGGCATGTTGCTAGGAGGGGTTGTTCCTTGGCCAAGTGACTGAAAGAGATGTTTATTTGTTCCCATTCCAAAGAAAGATGACTTGACAAAGTATGAAAGTTATCAAACAGTATCATTAATATCACAGGCAAACAAGATTCTGCTGAAAATTATCCAAAAACTGAAACAGAGCATCAACAGAGAACTGCTAGGTGTGCAGGCTGAGTTTAGAAGGGGTCGTGGTACTAGGAATATTGTAGCTAATGTTAGATGGATTTTGGCTGAAAGCAGAGAGTACCAGAGGGATGTCTATCTGTGTTTCATTGACTATTCAAAGGCTTTTGACTGTGTGGATCACAACAAATTGTGGCTAGCTCTGAGAAGAATGGGCCTCTCAGAACACTTAATTGTTTTTATGCAAAAACAGGAGGCAGTCGTAAGAACAGAGCAAGGAGACACTGTGTGGTTCAAAATTGAGACGGGTATACACCAGAGATGTGTCTTATCTCCATAGCTTTTCAATCTGTATGCAGAATAGATCATTTGGAAGGCTGGGCTATAGAAGGAGAATTGTGGCATTAGGACTGGAGATAGACTCATCAAGAACCTGCAGTATATAGATGACACAACTCTACTTGCTGAAACTGAGGAGGACCTGAAGTACTTGCTGCAGAAGGTCAAGGACTGTAGTCTTAAATATGGATTGAAGTTCAACATCAAGAAAACAGTGATTCTCACTACTGGGCCAGTTGGCAGCATCATGATAGATGGTAAAGAGATTGAGATAGTTAACAGTTTTTGTTTGCTTGGGTCCACAATTAGCACTCTTGGTACCAGCAGTCAGGAAATCAGAAGACAATTTGCATTGGGAAAGTCTGCTGTCAGGAACCCCTCTAGACTACTGAAAAGCAACACTGAGTCTCAGGACTAAGGTGTGCCTGATTCAGCCCTTAGTCTTTGCAATTACTTGCTATGCATCAGAAAGCTAGACAATGGCTAGGAATGATCAAAGGAGAATTGATGCCTTTGAGCTGTGGTGCTGGAGAAGAGTATTGAATATACCATGGATTGCTAGGGGAACAAACACGTTTGTCCTGGAGAGGGTGAAACCAGGCTGCTCCTTGGAGGCAAGGATTCGGAAGCCTTTGTCTGACATACTTTGGATATGTTGCAAAGAGTGATCAGTCCTTGGAGAGGAACATCATTCTTGGGAGGGTGGAGGGACAGCACAAGAGAAGAAGCCCTTCAATTAGATGGATTGATTCAGTGACTGGGGTAATGGGGGTAGGTATGGCAGAGACAATAAGGTTGGCACAGGATAGAGGAGGGTATAGGGCTGTTGTACATAGGGTCGCTATGAGTTGTAAGCGACTTGATGGCAGATAACAACAACAACAACAATGATTTATCTAAGAAATAGTAAGTAGTCATTTGTTTCTGCTTAGCATGCTTGAGACTTGGCTATAAAAAGTAGTCATTTGTAATTTTAAACTATTTAACTGGGACTGACATCTGATCTTTGCCCTAATAAAATATGTGGGAGAAACTCTGGCCTTATTTAAGTTAAAATTTATTCAAAGTGCCTGAGTTAATATGAAAGCATGAAGATGTTTTCTAAAAGGATAAACTACCAGACATTGAATATCTCTTACTCATTAATATACTGCAAAATATCTTTTTATTTCTCCCGCTTAAAGCAAATGATGTGTGACTATCTCTAGCTTACCATTTCACAGTAAGAAACTATTGGTCTTAAACATTTAAAAAGAAAGTACATATGTTGTACCATTCTTCAGATGTTTACTTTTTTTCCTAAAGAGATGAAATTATTCCACTTTACTTTCACAGGTTCTGCATTTGCTAAGGCAAAGCCTGAAAGCCCCTGGACTTCTCTGACTCGAAAAGGAATTGTGCGAGTTGTCTTTTTCCCCTTTTTCTTCCGATGGTGGTTACAAGTTACATCAAAGGTCATCTTTTTCTGGCTGCTTGTCCTTTATCTTCTTCAAGGTATAATTAAGTAATGCAAATGCATTTTACTTTTAACATTCAGAATGTTGTATTTTTAGGGTTACTGAGGAATTTTTAAAATATGTGCTATTACTACTACTGAGTATAATAATGAACTACATTTATAGTGATACTTGGTTTAAGGAAACACAAAACTAGGATTATAAATGTTTGAGAAGACAAAGTAATTATTTTCTGATATAACTTTATATAAATTTGAATTTCTGGATTGCTCTGGGAAAACAGTAATTTTGGAGGTTTGAGAATTAAAATATACAAATCAGAAAAATTCATTAAATATACCCACCCTCCTTGAGTTGCTTGTGACTCAGCACCTAACAACAACAACAACACTTACACACCCCAGTCTTCTTTTATAGACCTGTTCTTCATCTCCATTTTTCTGGCTCTCACATGTTTCTTTACTTTCAACCACTGTGACTGGAGGTTGTCCTCATTCCAAATTGAAATTCTACATCCCAGTCAGTTGTAAGGGCATTTACAGTGTCATTAATTCTCAAAACAATATAATGAAGTATATTGTGTGCTGAAAGGTTGATTTTGACCCTGTAGGAGAACGTAGAACTACCCCATAGGGTTTTCTAAGCTATAATCTCTATGGGAACAGGAGTGGCAGGTCCTTTCTTCTACAGAGTGACTGGTGGGTTCAAACAGCTGATCTTTCACTTAGTAGATATGAGCTTAACCATTGTGCCACTAGGGCTCCTTAATAGTGATGTATGCTGTTAAGTTGAGCATAACTCCCAGTAGCCCTGTTAGCAACCATTCTGATGTCTTGCTCTATCCTCATGCTGCCCTTGCTAACTCTGCTATGGTAGAGCCCATTGTTGCCTTTACTGTGTCGGTTTACCTGGAGGTCTTCTCTTTCACTGACCCTCCGCCTTTCCAAGCATCATGTCCTTTTCCAAGGACTGGCCTCTTCTAACATGCCCAAAATATGTGAGCCAAAACTTTGCCATCCTTGCCTTTTAAGGAGCACCCTGGTTTTACATCTCCATCCAGCTTACAGATACAGGGTCAGAGGCACCTGACCTGAGACTCCTGGGCAGATTGGTCACAAGTATGGTAGAGCCCAGATTGCAGGCTAAGCTGGCTGATTGCAGAGCCATCTACCTCACTCTGTTACGCTGCCTTTGTACACAGCACCATTCTAGCGCACAGTCAGAAGAGCAGTGGATGGCAGTACAGAGCATTGGAGACTAAAGTAGCAACCCACATTGCTCTAACAAAGCATCTTTTTTTAACCTGTTTGATACTGTTCCAGTTGTTTTAATGTGTTGCTTTTTTACTTGTAACACTGCACTTGCACATGATTGTTAAATTGTGCTTATCAACTTAATTCTAAGTAAAAGATATCTCTGAAGTAAATAATAATATAAAAACTGGAAACTGTTCTTTAGATCAAGTTGTTTCTACTAAGTCAAAGTAGGTAGCCTAGGATAGGGAGTTGCGCTGCTTACTTACAGAAGTTGCCTCTCTGGCAGTTTGAACCCATCAGTGACTCCAAGCCAAAAAAATAGACAGGCTTACCATGTGATTTATTGCCTCTGAAAATCCACAAAAAGGTCAGCTGTGAGTTGTTTCTGACTCAGTGGCAATGAGAGAAAGAGAGAACTGAATTTTTACTGGCAATGTGCAGTTATGCTTGGCTGAAAGTCACTTACACTTCTCTAACATAAAAAGGGAACATAGGTTAAATCAAACATGAAAATGAAGCTTTTCCATTGAAGTCAATCATAAGATGCTTATGTTGAACATTGTCCTTTTAAGAAGGGAATTAACCTGCTCATACTCACACAGCCAGCGTGACATAGACCCGGCAGTCTGCTCTGTGCTTTAGAAAACTTCATGCCTCTGTCTCCTTGCATATATACAAGAGTGCAGTGTTCTTTGTTAACCCCTTCATTCTCTATTCTACTCTCCCCTTTTACTCCTTGAAAGGATATTAAGAATCAAATGCAGTCATATTTGGTTTTATGTAAATATGAACAAAAGTGAGCTCTGGTAGCCTAGTCAAGGGCGTTGCTCTGTAAATACAAATTTCTCACCTTTCTGGCAGTTCAAATTTACCAGCAGCTCTCCAGGAGAAAGATAATTATTCTCCTCCTGTGCAGTTTATAGTCTCAGAAACCCAGTGGTGGGTCAGTTCACATGCACTGAGTTTGAGTGAATATTTGTCCTAAAACTGCATTTACATACTTTTAAAAATAGCTATTGTAAAGAAAAAAAAATAGCTATTGTATTTTCTGATCTCTACCACTTTTTGCTTCTATTATATCTGACCTAGACATATACAATACTGCTAAGGGGTCATTATCTTTCCTACTTGTATCCATTTACTCTCTGAATTACAAATCTAAACCAGTGGCTAAAGCTCCAAATTTCTTGACCCATTAATCATTGTCTTGAGCATAAAAGGCCAACTTTTCCAAATCCTCAACTTTTTCCTTCTATGTTGGCCAAGGATAAACTAGCTGTTCTCGGTTTTTCAAACTTCATATACTGTTTTTTGCCTTTGTTCCTTTGGATATACAGTTTTACCTTAGCTAAGTAGCTCCCTTCCCTCTTATTTACTACCTGTTCAGTTCTTGCTTGTTTTCAAAACTTAGACCTCAACTTTTTTGAGAATTCTTTAATAACTCCCTAATTGCATCATGACACAAAGTGTTTTTTAATTGTATAAACACTTATTTAGTGGTCCCCTTGTGCCAGGCACTGTGGTAGGAGCTTGGGAACTAGAGATGAAGCAGAGACCGGTCCTCAAGGACTTCATTATTTTTTCATCTGTCCCATACAAGACTGGAGACTTCCTGAAGATAAGAGCACAGATTATAAGCGCACTCAAATAAATTTTGTGGAGTTGTAATTTTAGCTTGGATAAGCCAAATGACTTTCCTGAGTCTTCAGGTTCCTTGTCATTATGTGGGGCCGAATTCCCAGCTCTGGGAGAGAAGAGGAAACTATGCATGTGAAAGTCTTTGGCTGCCAGACATCAGTCAATATGCACAAGGGAAAATGACCACAGTGGTCTTGACTGTCATCCTCCAAGGCCTAGTCACACTCTTCAGAGCCTCTGAAATAAGCAAGTAAACAGCTCTTGATAGCATAGAATCCACGTCACTCAGCTCCGGCCTTTCTAGATCCTGGAGATTTATCTGAATAGGGTCATAGTCTTCCCTTTCCAGCCTGTGGGCTCTCAGGTTATTTTCAATTGTTAGGAGATGCCTGCCTCATTCTTGTTTCCAAAACATCAGGAAGATGCCAAGATCCTCCCAGGGGTTCAGATCAGAGCTGGAAGCATGCTTGTTACAGGAAACTAAAAGTAGGGGATGGGAAGAAATTAGCCAATACAGATGATTTTGATAGTTTGTGTGCGAAATGCATACTTCCTTATGCTTTAAGGCAGTGAGGATTTGAGTAATAGGGATATCTCATCTGCCTTCTTATCCTGAAGGCATAATACCCAAACAGTGAGCTTCAAATATTTGATATTCCTGGTTGTTCCCCATAAGAGTTCTATGTGGCCAATACTTAAAGTCCTTCCATGGAGCCACATGTGTCCTATAGACAACATTCTGTTTTAATGAGCTTCCTTAGTAATTTCTAGGATTCTCTCACAATATTGTTTAGTTCATAAGACCTATTAAATGATCAAATAGTGTGAGAAAACATTACGGAAAAGCAATGAATATTTTCTCTTGTTTCTTCTAAATCGTCATTGTTGTGGTCAGAACCGACTCATAGCTGACTCTCCTGTAGGTTTTCAGAGGCAGTAAATAGAATGGGAGAAGATTGCCCATCCTTCTCCCACAGGGCAGCTGGTGGATTCAAAACATGTGCCTTTGAATTTGTAGTGCATTACCACTAGGCCACCAGAGCTCCAGAGATGATTTCAAAACCAAGCAAGAGGAGCTACCTTAGGAGCTGAACCATGGAAGGGGCCACTATGAGACACAGCTAGACAAAGGGAGGAAAAAGAGAGCGAGAAAGTGGCTTCCTTTTTAATGTTTCTGTGGTGGCGTATTCCACAGGGAATTCTGTTCCTAACCCAAAGGTGGCACCCTTTTGCCAATTAAAATCCACCAGCACCTCTTGAAGGTTAAAGTTGGACCGTCTTCTCCCGTGTGATTTATAGCTTTAGAAACCTGCCAGAGGGTCAGCATTAAGTTGGTTCTTACGTGACAACAGTGAAATTGAGTTTGAGTTTTTTAATAGAGTTTCACCAAATTTAATAACCCTCTTAAGGTAAAAGAAACATAATATGTAGGTTTCCATCCAAACATTACAAAGAAGAATTCTCATAGGGTTTAGAATAGGTAGATAATAGATAACCAAGCTTTTGTCCTTAGCACTTTGTCTAGACAGCAGAAAACAGGACATAGGGGCACAGGGCCATGAGCTTTTCTCTGAAAAGGCCAGATTGAGTGAGAATAGCATAGCCCCTCACCTCCCCAGAGCATAAATCAGATAAAAGACTCCGTAGACCAGCCCCATGGTACCTCTTGAGCCACACTAGCAGCAAGAAATTAGTGTATGTCTTGTTAACTGACAGGCTCACAGTTGTGGTACTGAGAATGGGGCCTTATTAGGGAATTAAGTGGGAGAGTTGGGGACGCAAAGAATATCATTCAAAACAAGCCTAGGTTTTAGCCAAGTTTTAAAGCATAATTCCTCAATTCAGTCCCTGGTTTCATTTCAGCAGTCATACCCAAATCCAGAATGATTTGCCTCAGACCAGTTGTCAGTCCACTTGACCTTCAAGCATCTGGCAAGAAAAGCAAAACCCTTTAACTGGCCAGCAAAAATGCAAGAAGCCTCAGGTCACACCTTGTAATAGTTTCTCCGCAGCATTTCCACAGTTTCTGCACCATCATCACCAGGGTCTTACTCTCACCAGGATCTTTCTCCAGTCTCCCTCAAGACTTAGTGCCCCAAGTCCTCCTTGCCTCAAGCCTTGCTGCCCAGTGTGGGAAGCACTCTTTCTCTTGTCCTAGTCCCACAGCTGTTCATGATTTGCAAGACCCTGTGTCTGCAGTTAAGGTAGCTGGAGACCAGAAGGGGCTAACTATAATGACTTTAAAAAGTCAACTTTTAGGCTAACACCACACAACTGCATAAAATAGAATATTTGCAAAGCTGTTCTCTGTTGTGCCTGTAGTTCTGAACCTCTTCAGTAGCATTTGCTCCCACCTTTTACAGATAATTAGATTAATGATGATAGTTATTCTTTACTGATATAGAGTACGCATTTACTGTATGTGAAGAACTGCATATGAAGCAATTGAAAATATCATAACCTAACCGGCATCAGTCACACCTTGGTCTTTAAAATATCTTAGCTCTTTAGGAATTTAAATAAGTCTTGTACAGTTTTGGTTTCTTAAATGCTGTATTCATGAGTGTTGATTGTAGATCTAAGTAAAATATCAAATTTTTTGACAACTTCTTAAGTAGATGGATTTCTATTAATAAGAAATTCTTTATGGCCATATCATGTGTTTGTCATAACCCAACTCCCATATTTACAGACTTGACTGCTACTCATAGTGACCTTTTGTGTCTCAAAGTAATAGTTGTTGTTATGTGTCATTGAATTGACAACTCATGGTGACTCTATGCACAATAACTCTAAACCCTGCTCTATCCTGGACTAATCTGACACACCTCCACTCATTACCCCAGTTACTGTGTCAATCCATCTCATCTGAGTTCTTCCTCTCCTGTGCTGTCTCCACCCTTTGACTGGCTCCTCCTGGCAGCATGTCCAAAGTATGTGAGATGGAGCCTCAAAATCCTTGCCTTCAAGGAAGTTTGGCTTCACCCTCTGCAGGACAGACCTGTGAGTTCTCTTGGCAGTCCATCGTGTGTTCAGTACTCTTCTCTGGCACCATAATAGAAAAGCATCACTTCTTCTTTTGACCTCTTTGGTTATTGTCCAGATCTCTGATATATAACAGATGGTTACAAAGACCTTAGCCTGGACCAGACAGACACACCTTAGTCTCCAGACTGATATCATTGCTCTTTAGCACTCTGGAAAGGTCCCCGAAAGCAGATTTTCTTAAGGCAATTCATCTTTTGATTTCCTGACTGCTGGTACCAAGAGTATTGTTAATAAGGTCAGTCTCCTCTCTATTATGATGATGCTAGTTGGCCCAGTGGTGGGAATCTTCTTTTTTTTTTTAATACTGAGCTTCAATCTGTATTGCAGATTATAGTCCTTGACTCTCTGAAGCAAATGCTTCAGGCTCTCCTCACTTTCAGCAAGTAAGGTGGTGTCGTTTGCTAATTTAGGTTGTTGATGAGTCTTTCTCTAATCCTGATGCCACGTTCTTCCTCATAAAGTCCAGCCTTCCAAATGATCTGTTCCGCATATAGATTGGAAAAGTTTGGGAACAGCATGCATCTCTGACACACTCCCTTCCTGATTTTGAACTATCTGCTGTTCTATACAGAATTTTCGGTGACTTGTTTTTCAGAAGCAGATCACCTAAACTTCTGTTTTGAGGGATCTTTCGGTAGTCTTGAGCTTCCAGTGAGCAGACTTGGTGTTTAAACATTTTTATCTTTAATTAGAGCAAGGACAGCCTAGGAAGAGCTGAGTCTGACTCCTGCTCATTCCACAAAGGGGAACTGTCCCCAGTAGTGACATCCACACTACAGAACTAATTCCTTTGAGGCCTGACATAGTCTCCTTTGCTCCTGCACCTATTTTTAATAGTTCCAGCACCAATCTTCCTGCTCTGCTGGGTTCAAAGTGTATTGCAGTGACCATACAGACTTTATAGAACTGTATTCACAGTTCTGGGGTTTATTAGGGAAGTTAACAATCTGTCATTCAGGTTGCATCAGCGTACAATCCCTTATTTCAGACAGTTTTCCAAGCATGAATTCTGGCCTTTTGGTCTTCAGCCTCATGGCTGAGATCAGTGTCACAATGTTCCCTAGTCTTACCAGTTACAATATCTTCCCTCAGTCCTCCAGCAAGCTTGCGGCAGCCGACCCAAGGTCAGTTCTGTCTCACATCAGGTCTCTGATTCTCCACTGAGGCTGCTGGGGCTGCTGCCCCTGCTCCTATAGGCCCAGTTTGGCTGGTGCAGGAACCTCTTGCCCAGAGGAAGTGTGCTGCTGCTTCTTCCTTGTAGGTGTTGATATTCCCCAGTTTCAGTTGTTGAATCCACTCTGTTTAATGACAAATCCCCTTGTAGATAGACTAAAACCACCTTTTTTGAATGTCCTGCACTTCTATATGTCGGAATCAAGGTCAGTAGAACCATGTATCTCCCAGAGAGTGTGTTCTTCCCTTTTGGGGGCAACCCCACCCCCAATAAAACATTTGCCATTGAGTATGTCAGAGTAGAACATGCTCCATGTGGTCCTCAGTGGCTGAAATCTGATGGAGCTAACACAAAGTAGATCTCCAGGTATTTCTTTCACAGTGCACTGCATGTGTTTGAACAACCAACATTTGATTCAGTAGTCAAGTGTAAATGGTTTGTGTCATCCAGTGATCTACACGTAACATAAAACCAAATACCCACCACTGTCTGGTCAATTCTAATGCACAGTGATTTAGATTTCCAAGGATGTAAATGTTTAAAAAAGGAGACTGCTGATCTTTTACTGTGGAGTTGCTGGGGGATTTTATTTGCTTAATAGCTCAACATGTAATACTATGTCACTGAGGCTCCTTACACTTATCATGATGCTACTGTTGTGTGTTGTCAAGTCAGAACCAACTCATAGGTGACCCTCCAGTGAGTTTTCAGAAGCAAAAAAATCACATGGTAGGAGACTGCTCATCTTTCTTCTTTGTAGTATCTGGTGGATTCAAACCACATGCTTTTGGGATTGCAATGGAACTTCTTTCTCCTGGGCCACCAGAGCTGCCTTCTTGTCATAGGCCTTTCTTATTTATAATATAAAGAAATAAATGTACTTGACATTACTGTGTTTCATTTAATGGTTTGAGATCTTAATCATGAATGCTTGGATTCCCATTCAACTAATTTTGATTATAGTGTTTAGATATGTGCTTTAGGGATTATGCTGCATGCTGTTTTGTTCTATGAATTTATTACTAAATGGCATGGTTAGCCGGTGGCAGACAATAAAAATAGTCTGAAAGAATTTGTCTGGAGTAACATTTTAAACTTACTGAAATGTGGAAAAATAATCTGGCAGCTGTAAGGTAAGAACAGTTTTAAAGCAGTGACTGTCACATCTAAAATTAAACCTATTCTCTTTCTCTTTCTGTAGTTGCAGCCATAGTATTATTCTATTCCGCTTCCAGCCCACATAGCATACCTCTGACGGAAGTGATTGGGCCGATATGGCTGATGCTGCTCCTGGGAACTGTGCATTGCCAAATTGTTTCGACAAGAACACCCAAACCCCCGCTAAGTGCAGGGGGTAAGAGGAGAAGGTATGCTCTGTTTAAAAGTGATCTTTTTGTAGAGTTCTGTAATTGGAATCCAGGATTGTTCTTGTCCATTTTACTGTAGGATGAAATGTTATCTTGTAAAGTTGGTCTTTCAAAGTAAAGCACTTAGCTTTAGAATCAGCTAACAAATTGCTTTCTTTCTTTGCATCAAGACTGTTCTGAGACCACATGCCTGGGGTTTCCTTTTTCCTATGAGGATCGTTACTAGTAATACAATATCAGAATATGTAATGTATTTTAGCTAGAGTTGCTAATAAGTCATAGTACCTGCAAAATATTGGATTTTTAAAGTGATATTAAACAGCCGAAAAAATTTTAGCTAAACCTTTTTTGTTAAATGCTATTCGATGCTATTTAATATTACTCTTTGATTACCCAAGTGTAGCAAGTTGCTTTGGCCACTTGGCATAGTGAAGTTCTGTTTTTAAGGGTCTTTTGAACATATAAAATATTGCTCTGAATATTATTGATAAGAGAGTATAGCTTTCAGAGCTCTTAAGTGTTGAAATTTTGGCATATAAGCCTGTATCATTTAAAAAGATAGTACTTATATTAGATAAGTAGCATTGCTGGCAAATTAGGTCATAATTCTTTCTAATCCAAATTTTCTTCTTTCTTCATCTGCAGATAAGTGGCACTCAAATAGGGAAGAAATGCTTTTGTAAATATTTTTCCAATGCAATCCTTATAACCTGGTGTCCACTGACCTCAGTATGAGCAAGAAACAATATGCTAATGTTTATAATAATTGATCTTGATTGTTCACCATATTTGGATTAAATTTTATCCAGTAATTCTGAATTTTATTTTTCATTAAAATTCCTATGTTTATCTTTACCAAAATTTTGGATGCACTACAGAGAAATTGCTTGTTAAAACTTTAAAGCTACCTTCCACTCTTAATCTCTTCTGACGAAGGAAATTAAGAAAAGCAGCGCATTTGGAAGTACATAGGGAAGGAGATGGTTCTAGTACCACAGATAACACACAGGAAGGACCAGTTCCGAGCCATGGGACAAGCACCTCTTACAGTGTTGGCGCTGTCTTCAGAGATCTCTGGCATGCTGCTTTCTTTTTATCAGGGTTTGTATTATTTAAGGCTTTATTTGACATAGAGATGCAGTATTCCTTTTCTGACATTTCACAACTAATTAAAAACATTTAGAGGTGATGTTGCTAGCTGTATATAGTTTACATACCATATTTGAAATAAGTTTCAAAGTTATGATTAAATTCTAACCATAATTCATGAAAGTTGCTAAATTTAAAATCAAGGAATAGGATATTGCAAATAACCGTTTTCTACCTTATTTATTAACTTCTCTACTAATACCATTTTTTTCATCAATTTGTGACTGTGCTCTTATGATTAAGTGTATCATATGTTGTTATGTGGTTACATTGTAGGCATCTTATTTCAATGGCTTAGTGGTAAGAAGCTGTGCTGCCAACCCAAAGACACTCGATTTGAATTCACCAGCTGCTCCATGGGATAAAGTTGGGCAATCTCCTCCCTTGTGATTTACTTCCACTGAAAATCCAATAGAGGGTCAGCTATGGGTCATTTCCTACTCATTGGTACATAACAACAATCACAAAACGTTTTGGAAAGTCTTCCAACATTTTGATAGTTGGCAGTATCATGGCATTGATTAAATATGTTTCCTGATTGTTCTTTCTCTAGTGAAGGTATACATTTTGTTGTGTATATATTTTCTCCTCTTGGGTTTGAGTTTGCCTTTACCTCTCGATTATTTCATCTTTTAAATACTTTTAGGATGTGACCATTTTCTTACTGGAAAATAAATTCCTTAAAATCTTCTTGAGACTTTCAGAGAAGTAGTTACATGTGTTGTTACTGTTGTTAGGTGCGGTCGAGTCAAGCCTGCCTCATAGTGACCCTGTGAACAACAGATCTGAATGTGGCCTGTCCTGTGCCAGCCTCACAATCTCTGACACACTGGAGCCCATTGTGGCTGTCACTGTGTCAGTCCATCTGGTTGATCTTCCTGTCTGTAGCTTGCCCTCCACCTCACCAACTGTGATGTTCCTCTCCAAGGAATAGCCTTTCCTAGCAGCATGCCGAAAGTATGTGAGATGAACCTTTGCCATCTTTGCTTCCAAGGAGCATTCTGGCTGCTTTGCTTTCTGTTAATTAGTTAGTTGTTTTGGTTGTCCAGAATTAATACTGTATTATGCAGTATTCAGAATTCATCTAACTAATGATAAGGGATTATATTACCAGGTCAGAAGCATGCTGTTTTAATATACCAACTGCGAGAGAAAGATGGTCAGTCTCGTCAACATTTGATTTCAGTTTCTGAAACGGAATTGGAAGGTCTGTTAAGAGTCGGTTCTAGGGAGCCCTGGTGGCCTAGTGGCAAGAAGTTGCATTGCAATCCCAGAGGTACGTGGTTCGAATCCACCAGGTGCTCTGCTGGAGGAGGGGCAATCTCCTCCTGTACCAGTCAGATCCGATTTGATGGTACACATACACAAAATAATAAATTTAAAAAAGAAAGAGTCGGTTCTGACTTAACAGCACAGAACAGTAACTGTAGAGAGATGAGTGCCTTGTTTTTAACATGAAACTGTTTTCAGCGTTGTTATTTTAGGGCTTGATTGCCAGTATATAGATTGTTTTAAACATAAGCTTTAAACATATTTTAGTAAAAATATTAATTTCATAATTTCCCAACTGAGTTCTGGCTTTTATATGTCCAGAATGGTTTAAACTATGACATATCTGCTGAAATTTGCTTGACAGTGTTTTTTCTGGTTATTACAAATTGAAAAGCCAGACACTTCCATTATAATATTGCAGTTAACATAAAAGCACTGAAAGCCATCCAATTCGAGCTGACTCATAACTGACGCTCTGTTGCATTTCCAAGGTTATAATTATATGGAAGGAGATGCTCGATGTTGCTCCCAAGAACCAGCTAGTGAATTTGAAGTGTCAGTGAAGTCTAGCCTTTGAATTAGCATCACAGCTTCCTATGAACTATGCTCCTAGAGCAATTAATATAACTGTTGGGTAAAGAAATATACAATCACCCAAATAACTAAAATCTGTATATAATGTCTTGATTTTTTCCTAAATATTAGGATGAAAAATCATTATTTAAAAATCTGTATTTATAAATTGGGAATGCCCTTTTGTCATTAATTACTAAGTACATTTTATTCTCAAAAGGATACTATTATTTTAATACAAACCATAGTTTTTCACATTTTAAAAAGTTAGGAGATACTGTGTTACTGTGGAGTAAATACATGAAACTGAGAAAATGAAGCCAAAGAATTGATTTTGAAAGATAAATCAGTTCTATCTTAAGATTTAGTACTTTTTTTTTTCTTCTTTTTTATATGGAACACTTCACGAATTTGCATGTCATCCTTGCGCAGGGGCCATGCTAATCTTCTCTGTAGTACTTTTAATTACAGTGAGTTACCAGAATTTCATCTAAATAGCATATCCTGTACATTCTCTGCCAACTTTAACACCCCTAAAAAATCATTTCTTAAGGATGCTAAGTGAATTTTTGCATAACATGCTTGTGGACAGTATCCTAGGAAGAGGGTGCTATTTATTCCATTGTTGTTGTTGTTGATTACCTTTAAGTCAAGCATGATTCATAGGGACCCTATGAACAAAAGACCTGAAGCTTCTCTACAAATGTCAACATTTATCAAACTTCATAGAGTTTCCAGAGGCAGGTTGTTTAGGAAGTGGATGCCACTCCTGCTTCCAATTAGTTATTGTATGAAAAGACAATATTTATCTTTATACTTGTTGTTGTTGTTGATTGCCTTCGAGTCGAGCATGACTCATAGCGACCCTATGAACAAAAGGCTTGAAGTCCCCCCACAACTATCATCAGTTTTTGAAGTTCATTAGGTTTTCCAGCAACATGTTATTTAGGAAGTGGATGCCACTCCTGCTTCCATTATACTTAATAGTTGTACTGAATAGATTGTTGTTGTTGTTAAGTACCATTAAATCATATACGACTCATAGTAACCTCATAAACAATAGATCGGAACTCTTCCTGTTCTGCTCTGTCCTCATCATCATTCATATGAGTCCATTTGATGCAGACACTACATCAGTCCATCTCATTGAGGGTCTTCCTCTCCATCCACCTTTTCAAGCATGATGTCCTTTTCCAAGGTACAGCCTTTTCTAACAATAAGGCTAGAATATATGAGGTGAAGTTTCATCGACTTTGCTTCCAAGGATCATTCTGGTTGCACTTTCTCTAACATGTATCTGTTTGTGCTTTGGCAGTCCATGGTATATTCAACACTTTTCTCCAGCATCTCAAATCAAGTGCATTGATTCTTCTTCTGTCATCCTTATTCATTGTCCAGGTCTCAAATACATAGCAAGTGATTTGAAAGACTGTGGCCTGAATCAGGTGCACCTTAGTCTTTAGACTGACATCATTGCTCTTCAGGACTTCGAAGAAATCTATGACAGCAGACTTTCCTAGTGCTATAAGTCTCTTGATCTTCTGACTGCTGGTATCAAGGGTGTTGACTGTGGACATAAGCAAAATGAAATAGTTGAGACTTTGAATCTTTTCTCCATCTGTCATGATTTTACCTACTGGTTCAGGGGTGAGGATTTTTGTTTTCTTGATATTGAGATGTAATCCTTATTGAAGACTGCAGTGCTTGATCCTCTCAGCAAGCACTTTAGGCCTTCTTCACTTTTAGGAAGCAAGGTTGTGTCAGCTGCATAATGCAGGTTGTTGATGAATCTTCCTCCAATCCTAATGACACACTCTTCTTCATAAAATCCAACTTCTTGGATGATTTACTCAGTATTCAGATTGAAAAGGAAGAATTGTATCTGATTTTATTTTTCTTTAGCATAATACTTATTTCAAAATTCAGAGAGACACTATTTCATGTCCTTCCAAATTTGTCTGATCTTTACATTGTCTGTGAAAAATGTTCTTCACACAGGAATTATTGGGTTGTTTTTTTGTTTGTTGTTTTAGAGAAAAGTAACTTCTAAATTCACTCTTTAATTTAGAGGCAGATACATCAAACCAGGTTATAAGTTATATGTTAATACATCTGTTTGACCTGCATTTAAAATTTCCATCCCATTTAACTTCATTAAAGTTTTTTTAATACTAGTATGAAAATGAAGGGCTCAGTAAATTGATAGTTATTACAGACTAGAGAATACTGCATAGTACAATTTAAAATGGTATGCAGCCTCTCCAGAAATTTTTGTTAAAAGAATCAAAATTGGACTTTTACAGAATGTAGTCTATTACTTGAAGTAGTTGTCATTTAAACCATAAACTGATTTAAGCTCATAAAACTAGAGGAGATTTAAATGTGATTGTACCCTAGATCTTTAAAAGTATCTCATAAGCCACAACTTGATAACTTGTTAGATTTTAAAGTTACAATGGTCCTAGAAAGATGATTAGGGACAAGAAAGAAGTCTAATTTATTTGTCTAAGACTTCACATGTTGTAGAGGACACCTGAGGAAATAAAGGGGTCTGTGAGTCTTTGAAAAGACGTAGCAAGTGACCAAAATACACATAAAGCTCTGGTTAGCAGTGATGGTCATAGACTTCTATGACATTTTCTTTCTTTCTTTTTTTTTAGTAATTTTGATGAGTTTACAGAGACTTAGGGTTTCCAGTCATTCATTGTTGCACTTTTCTCCCTGCCCACCCCCTTCCCTCCAATTCACTTTTCTCCTTGATGAGTAAAAGAAAAAACTCATTGCTATGCAGTCCTTCCCCCCCAAGCCCATTGCACTGTGCAGCCTTCATTTGGGACTCCTGTCATGACAATGATACCTAATCATATATCCCTTTTAAACAGTTCTCTCCCTCATCTGTTGTAATGTATTGTATATTACAATATACATCATTCCTCCCCTTCTTCTCTGTGTTCCTCAAACCCAGTGTCAGTCCTGTTTTACAATAGTGTCCCTATGCAATATCTGTCCTTTTGTGACTGAGATACTGCACTCAGCATAATGTCCTCTAGGGTCATCCACTTAGCACAGTATTTCATGAGTTCCTTGTTTTTCAGTGCTATGTAGTA